GTGGTCTAACTCAGATGAGAATTACTGGTGTAGTCTCAAAAGGGTAGTGGGAAATAGAAGTTCTTATTTTCTACTTCTCTCCTTTACGTTATAGCTGAAAATACAGTAATTCAAGACTATTTTTTTTTGTCAGGGTAACACAGCTGTTGTCTAGTTTTGTCCATCCATCCTTTGTATCCTGTGAATCCATTTGTCAATAGGCAAAAGCTTCTCATCAAAGCAGCTTAGCAGTGTTGTCTGCCTTGCTAGGTGCTACTCCTGTGACTTGTGTGTCTTGTCCCAGTTCCCAGGATTACTGCTGTCACTTCTGTAATAGTTCTCTCAATACTGGAATTAAAACTGGGTTAAAGAGCAAAGCTGCCGCATGCTGTTTCTCTTCAGAGCCAATTGAGTGACTGAAGGCACTCTCAAGTCCTGAAGCATGGTGCAGACCCAAGTGTCACTTGCCTGTAGCTATCAGGAGATCTGGTAGGAATTTGGTCCATGCAGGTTTGATAGATTTCTGCCAGAAAGATACAGACCTTGTTTCATATCTCACATGAGCAAGATGAGCCTTGCAGGCTGAGTGCCATTCAACTGCAGGAATATTTAGATGCTTTTGTACTTAATGTTGTACATTCATACGTATGTGGAACTGTTATGCTTGAGATGCCAGTTTTAGGTACCTGAAGTTTTATAATACCTACACAGTTTTTGCCTTTGGGGATCACAGAGTGAATCCTAGAAGGGTTTGGGTTGGAAGGGACCTTAAAGCTCATCCAGTTCCTGCCACCCTTCCACTAGATCAGGTTGCTCCAAGCCCCCTCCAACCTGGATCATTCATGGCTCTTTTTATTTTTGGAAGCTTTTCATAACCTCCAGAGGAAATAAGCTTTATGTAGTTACACTTGTATCTCTTTCTCCTCAAGTAACTTTTGAACCTGTTTACCATAGTCATCTGCATCTCGGAAATCCCAAAGCCTTTTGTGCTTCTGTGGAGCAGAAAGACCAAAGAAAGCTTGAAGTTACTGCAGAGCTAGGTGAGGAGTATGGAATACAAATCTTCAGGAAACAGGCTTTTAAAATTCTACAGCTTGTAGAGCAATTTGTAGGTTTTACTACCAGTGCTGGGTTTGCTGTTAGTAGAAGTCAAGACAGGCTTTTCTGAGTATAACGTAATTCAGTGGGGTTATAACAACTGTAATGCAACAGAAAGCATCTATGCTTAGAGCCATTGTTATCTCTTTGTTGTCACTGCTATTCCCAGTAGGGGATGGGGAGCACTTATTCCAAGCTGACTAATTTAGGAATGACAGCTGCTTGGAAATAATCATTCTACTTTTGCAAGAGCTGTGAGCAAGTGAACAAGAATTTATGGAAAAAAATGAATTTATAGATGGGATTAATTGGCAATATTTAGAAGTTATAAAGTTATGCATCCGCTGTGGGAAGCTGCTAGGCTCTGCTGGTAAAAAGTCAAGCCTGTTCTTTTAGAGTTTGCAAGTGTCTGTCCGTGGTATTGCAGGCGCTCGTGGCCTGGCCAGAGGTACTGGAATAAGAGGTCTTGATTGTGTTCAGCAGCAGAGCTGCAGGGAGATGGTGAGAAATTTGTGTTAATGCCACTTTAAAGCTACTTGGGGAACCTGTGGAGGTGGCCAGCAAGGTAGCTTCATGTAGAGGTTGGGCGGGGTGAACAACAAGGTAGAGACTGGGAGAAGACAACAGCATGATGAAGGGAAGAGTTGCACTTGTAGCTGCTTATCTTTCTTGTTACACAAGAGCTGGAGCCCTTCCTGAGCAAGAATCAGTGAGACCAGCTCTTAGGAATTCTGAAATTCTTCTTTTGCCAAGTGCTGTGGATGTGGATGGACAGATTAGAGGTGTCTAATTGCTTCTTCCAGACAGCAGAACGGGATCCACTCAGTCATCTTTCAGTCTTCAATTAGTAGGCTTGAGTGCTTCAGAGACACACAAGAGGAAAATTTTTCCTAAGGAGAACAATCAGCCATTGGAATAATCTCCCCAGGGAAATGATGGATTCCCCAGTGCTGGACACTCAAGACTGGGCAGGACAGGGTGCTGGGGCATCTAACCTATGTCACGCTTTGCCTGGAAAGGTTGGACCAGATGATCCTTGAGGTCTCTTCCAACCTGGGGTTCTATGGTTCTATGGCACATTATAGTTTGGGTTAGGTTGTATGTGATCTGGTGAATGATCCCTAAAATTAAGTGTCAAAGATGGGAGTAGAGCAAGTTTATTAAGAAGAGCAGGTATAATAGGGAGATTAAGCTATATATTTGGGATCAGAAAGGGAGAGAATGAAGGATTAAACCCATCAAGCTCGAAAATACACCAAAAAAATCTGGAGTGAGTTTAGGATGGGGAAAGAGTGAAAGCACAATCAGCACTGTAGTAGATACAGCTATCTACTTCTTGCTTCAATACATAAATGCAGTGTTAAATTCCCAGTCTAAAAACCAGTCTGTGTAGACTGCCCTCACGATGTTTGTGAGTGCCCAGATATTGAAGAAATGGAAATATCCCTCAGCAGCAGTACTGCCTCTGCCAGGTCATCCATTTGTGCATCCAAGACACTTAGCCAAGACTGTGCTCTGATGTTCTGAAGTAAGAGTGGTGCAGAAGTGCAGGCCTCCCTTCTGTTAGTTGACATGCCAAGGATGTAACACATTGTTAAAGCCTGCTACCTAGTTTTCTTTAACTTGGCAGCACCAGAGGTACAGTAGAATTGAGTAGGTGTGCACCAGACAAAAACCTGCTCTGCAGTCTGCCTAGTGTGGAAGTCTAATTTTGGTGAATTTTGTGTTCTTGCACACTTGGTGTTACAGTGTTGCTCTGCTATAGCTTTATTATATGATCCTAGAATGAAAAGACATGATGTTTAACACACAGTTCTTAGCCTGCATCCAGGGAAAGCTAGCAGTGGTCTCTGATGTTTCCTGATGAAGGAGCAGAAGAAAGCAATGGCAGTCTTGCCATGAGCTACCAAAGGCAATTTTGACAGGGGCTGAATTGATCTCATGTGGGATTTCTGCTGAATAAGCTGACCCAAGCCATCCATGTTTGATATTCTAAAGGAGAGTTCCTGTTCCTTGTTCTTAGCTCACAGGATCAGTGCACATACTTAGCCTTTAACTGCAAAACAGGTGAGATATTACTTACTCATTTAAAGACATACTAATTAAAAATATTGTTAACAACATATAATCACTATAATGAATATTTCTACACATTGAAATTTAAAATGAAACAAAATTACACACCCCCCACCCCCGCTTAATTCCCTGCAGTCCCATTTGCTTTCCAGAATAGCATAACTGGTGTGGGCTAGTTGGGTACCAGTAAGCCTACCGCTGATTTGTGCTCCCTCTTGTGGCAGCAGGCGGTCGGAGAGCATCCTGCACACATCACCTGCACATCAGTGATAGTGCTGGTTGTGATCAGTGTGTACTTGTGAATAACTGGAATGGCCATCAGGAGACTGTAAATCCAAAACTGTGGAAAGGGTGGTTTACTTTTCTAGTGTTATTGTTCTGTGTCCAGAAACACTAAAATGTACATACCTGCAGAGTAATGCAAAACCTTTACTGCTTTTGTCCATTTCTGGATTTCCCACCAGCCATTTTCTGAGGTCCTCTTTGTCATGTGCATCATAACTAGATAGACCCAAGATTTTTTCTATCACCTACTGTGCATAATATTTATAATGTAATCTTTTGTGCATGTTTTTTCACAACTCCAAGGCAGACAAGATCCAAGGTAGACTTCAGCCAGAGCAGTGCAGCCAGGTGGTGGAGGAATCCTTGCCTAGAGGGGTGATACTGTTAACTTTCTGAGTTTCCTGATTTTGATGTGGTATATCCCTTACGCAGGAAAGAGGAGATGAAAGAGTTAATGCTTTTGAGATGAAATTGTCTTTTCAGTGGGGGTGGATATAGTTGTTAAGGGGTTAATCCCGAATCTCTGATGGTAAGAATAAAGGAGTTGTGTGACTTATTCCATCATGTGTCTTACTTGAGTGTGTTGTTCCTCTTTCTGCTGAGACAGCTGATAGAGAGGAAGAAGGCTGAAATAAATAGAGGCAATGGTTTAAGGCACTCAGTTTTTCATGCCAGTTAGCTGGTGTCTCCTGGGCACAAAGGATGGGGAGGACAGGGTTGGTGGGGAGCCAAATAAGCAGTAATTACTTAGGTGTGGGGTACCATTGAGTGGATAGTAATAGATGGTACTTGTGGTAGGGACAGCAATGAGGAGCAGATAATTAAGAAACAAAAAAGGGAAGAAATGAGTAAAAGGTTCTGAAAACCCGAGGTAAGCTTGAAAAGAAGCACTTGCATCTGAATGTCTGTAGGAATTACATTTCTCCTTCTTGAACAAAAGGGGAAGAAACAGTAGGGAGGAGCAGTTACAGCATGGGGAGAGCACAGTAATTAAGTCAGGGTGCAGAAAGATGGTGACTGCCAAGGGTTATAGGACACAGGCTGTGGCACTGAATTACAGAGACGTTCTGCAGAGAATGGTTCCTCCTCCCTGTGGTAAGCTTAGAGCTGGGGAAAAAACTGTATTCTGTTGCATGTAAGTAGTGAATAGTGATTTTATTTTCTTTCAACTTAGATGTATGCAATTTTAGCTTTGGCAGAAAGTGCTGGTTGATTACTTTGACAGGTTTAATTACTTTGGCTTGAGTAGGATGAAAGTGAATTTATTTCCCAGTGAGAAAAGCGTTGAAAGGCTGCATGAAAACCTGTCAAGGGAAATTGAAGCGGGGTTAGGGAGTTATCTTTACAGTAAATGGAATTGATAAACATGTCAGTTAAAAGGGGAATTTATTTATAATATCCAGGTTCTGTGGCCAGAAATCTTTGACAATTCCATTCACTGGGAAAATTAATTTTGTTTGTTCAATTGATTTGCTTTTTCATAATGCTTGTAGAGCAAGGAATTGCCATAGAATAAAAAAGTGAAGTCCTAATTCTTCTTTCTCCCCTTTCTTTTCTCCTAGAACACATCAGTAATGGAGGATCAGAATGAAGATGAGTCTCCAAAGAAAAATACCCTGTGGCAGGTAGGATTCACATTTGTGTAGAGAGAGTTGGCATGATTTTGTATGTTCTTGCTTTTGAGAAACTTCCAAATCTTGCATCTGCATAATCATCCTTGTACGTAGTTGACTGTATCACCCTAAAATTAGCTCAGCCTTCAAGTGAAGGATGATACTGATGAATAATACTTTAGAAATTGCTAGATCTTCTCAGATTTTGGAGTTGGTGCTGACCTTGAAAGGCTGGTTTTGTGTCAAAGGGTACTTGGGAATACAGTTCAACCTTTCTGAGCATGACTGTCATTCGAAAGGAAAAAATCAACACCTTAACATGGCAAGGAGTTGTAACCAGTTTGCTTTGAAGAAGTTTAGGAATATTTCAGTGCTGACAGTTGTTCGCAGCAGCCCTCTTGGTCTCCTGAAGGGCCATCAATCTTTGGTTCTGTTTACTAATTAGCAGTAAGTCCTGGGGTGTTGTTCTCGTAGCACCCTTTTTGTAGCTAAATCTCTCAGGATTTTAATGATGTGTCCATGTGCACGTCCCAAATATTGTCATGAGCTGTCTTTCAAAAACACAGCAGGCTCTTGATACCATGTAATTCCCAGTTTTCATTTACGGACAAGCAGTTCAACACTGACATGAAGTTCTTGAATTCTTGTGTTAGAGTATTAATACCCAACTTTGTTATGTCTCTAAATGTGTATTACTTTAACTGTTGGAAGTTATCATTTGTAAATCATTTGTGGAGGCAGAGTGCTGTATGCACCAGAGGGAAACTACAAGATGCAGCAGAAACCACTGGTTTTATCTGGAAAAGTTTCTTCTAAAAAGAATGAAGTTCCCTGCTGTTCACATGGTAGGAGGTGTAAGAGAATTCAAGACTTTCAGTGTAACAAGTAACTCACACTTACGAGCAAAGTCCTTTCATTGATCTTTATGAAAGGTGAAATTGCTATGGGATAAGCCATAGCTTGAAGACTGTGTTTCAAAACTTAGGTTTGATTATTTCTTCTCACATACTCTTCCTTGAGAGAGTGCTTATAAAGCTGTTCTATTGCTTGTATGTTAATACTGATACTCCTTTTCTAAAACCAGATAAGTAATGGAACTTCATCTGTGATTGTCTCAAGAAAAAGACCATCGGAAGGAAACTACGAAAAGGAAAAAGACTTGTGTATTAAATATTTTGACCAGTGGTCTGAATCAGATCAAGTTGAATTTGTGGAACACCTTATTTCACGAATGTGTCACTATCAGCATGGACATATTAACTCTTACTTGAAGCCCATGTTACAACGGGACTTCATCACTGCATTACCAGGTAAATTAGTATTTATTTTACAAGAGGTGCATTCACAAATATTTCTCCTTTTGTTTAATGCTTGGACTGCATGCAGACTTTTTGGAACATCCTTCATATTTAGATTGTCTTGAATAAAGACATGGTGCTTCCTAGTCAAAAGAGGAACAGGAGGGCAGCTGAAGTCATTCACTTCTGTGATTAATTGAATTGGCCACTGGATGCCAGTGTTGTTCCATGTAAAAGCAGTTTGAGTAGCATATCCTGAAGAATAATTTGTGTTTAAATTGGAAGAGAGTTGTCATTAAAGTTTTATCTCTGCAAGTTCTGTTCTAAATTCCTTTTTCATACGAACCCCATAGGTGTAGAAGGTACTCCAGAGGTGTGTTCATTTAAGAAGTCCTTTATGACATTTTAGTTTAGTTCTGAGTTTCTTAAGTCTTAAATAAGAAAGTTCCTGCTAAGATTGAGTGAGTCTAGTTTGTCAGGTCTGGTTATTGACTCCAGAGCAAAAGCAATTGTGGATTTTCATTGTATAGTCCAGCCATGATTCCTTCTTCCAGTTGCTCAGGTCTGCATCTGCCACCCATCAGTGTAAACCTGGATCAGTAGTTTGAACATGAAATGTGTTTTTACAAGTGCTATTCATTTTAAAAAAAAAGAAGCATTAATAACTATATACATCATTGTTAGTTTTCAGTCTTCTGGTCAGTTGCATATATTTTCCCATTAATTTCTGGAAGGAATTGTATCCCAGGGTTTTTGATGCTTGAGAAGATGATTCATTTAATTCTTTGAAAGGTAAATTTGTAGATACTGTTTCCAGAGCAGGAAATAAGCATGAAATAAGTGGTCACAATGTTCTGCTTGCCACTGCCAGTATAACAGCACAGATTCATACTACAGTGAGTGAGTAGTCTGTGGATGTTATCCCCAAAGTGCCAAGCCACAGCAGTGAACACTGAGAGAGGGTGATGAGAAAATACAAAGGAATTGGAAAACTGGGAATTTTTTGAGCACAGGGAGCACTAACGTTCCTTTAAAGACTGGTCATATTACAAGCTCAGAAGCTTTTGTAAGCCTTGGTGTGCTCAGGTGGTCTTGCATGATGGATCCCCTGGTGTTTGGGACAGATGCTGCTTGGTTATTATGGGTTCCTGCTCTCTGGACTGCTGCTGTATTTTCACAAAACCTGGAGGAATTCAACCTTTGGAGGTGATGGGGGGTAGTTTTGGCTCACCTTTAAAACATGGCTAAAATGAACTTCTGGGTAGTTGGAGAGGAATGAAGAGCATAAGGTAGGACACAGGGAGATGATGTGGAATACCTGCATAAATGTACTCCTTGTTTCAAGTGGAGAGCTGCTTTCTTTAGGTAGTGTGGATGTTTCCAGCTTGTTTTTAAAATAGTAAATGTTGATTTCTCCACAGAATAACTGGGATTCACTAAAAAAGTAATGTGAATAGTTATGGTGATCATAGAATCCCAGACTGGTTTGGGTTGAAGGGACCTTAAAGCTCATCCAGCTCCAACCCCTGCCACAGGCAGGGACACCTTCCACTAGAGCAGCTTGCTCCAAGCCCCTGTGTCCAACCTGGCCTTGAACACTGCCAGGGATGGGGCAGCCACAGAGCTCAGTCTCCAGGGCAGAGCTTCTCTAGCCCTCGCAGCATCTCTATGGCCTCCTCTGGCCTCACTCCAACAGATCCTGGTCCCTCCTGTGCTGTTGCCCCAGAGCTGGATCAGGGCTGCAGGGGGGGGGTCTCCCCTGAGTGCAGCAGAGGGGCAGGATCCCCTTCCTCGACTGCTGCTCAAGCTCTGGGTGTGCAGCCCAGCACACGGGGGGGCGTTCTGGGCTCAAGGCACACTGAAGCTGGGTCAAGAGGAGCTTAAAAGATAATTTCACTTGCCTTAAAGAAATAATTATTTTTTTTTAATGGAAATAGTTTTTAATGTCCTTTTTGATTTTACACCTGTGAGAATACAGGAAAAATAGAAGTCTGTAGTATCTGGCTTCCTTCTGCTTCAGCAGAAAAAGTGATAGTTTTGGTGTGCTTTTCAGTAAGTGGTGGCAGAATGTTTAGTCTACAGGGTCTGTTCTTACAAATGGGGCTGTGGTTGGGCTCTTTTCTGCTAATTGTCACAGTTAAAGCTAATGCTGTATCAGCTATTGTACAATGAGAGCAACTCAGAAGCTGATCTTTACTCATTGTTTTTTCCATAACTGCCAACAGTGTTTCCCCTAGCATGTCAGAAGACAGTGGAGTATAATGGACGGCATAATTGCAGGAATAACATAAGATACCTCTTTGCTTTTGATTCTCTTAAATTAGCTTTAAGATGGTAATCAAAATATGTCTTGGATGGTCCCATCCAACTTGTGTGTTTTCCTTAAATGAATTTCAACTTTGACCCCTTGAGCACTGCTATTTCACCCTTGATTAGGAAAGAAAGTCCCTTCCATATGTGTTTTGTGTGTTAAAGCTCTAGGAGAGCTCAACACCGAGTCAGGCAAGTAAGGCTCTGTCTGGCTGCTTCTGAAATTTGTTTCTAAAGCCATAAATGTTGTGTGTTGCATGATCTGAGTGACTGTTTCATTTGATGCTAATCAGCTTTAGAGCTGACATCCCATGGTGAGTTTCATTTTCATACAGAGTGGTATTTACACATTGAGCTGTGAAATCACTGTGGATTTTAATTGTTCTAATTCGTTATTGAAATGGAAGCAAACCTTCATCTGGTACCCATAATCAACAGCTGCTCTTGGTTTTCACCATTTTCTATAGAACTGCAGAAACTCTTGTAGAAGCATAAGATTTGGGCATAATTTTTCGCTTTGAAAAGCACAGCAGTAAATACTGAATGCATTTTACTAAAGAAAATTGGTAGGGTTTAATACTTCAGAAACTGTTTATGAAACTAAATACTCGGTGTCAATGTGAAATAGCTACATGCAGCTATTTCAGGCCTTAATGTGTCTTCAGCTTAGTCCTGTGTGTTGTCTGGAATAATGCTAGTGAGTCTATCTTAAGTATCTGGGCTTTGGACCTGTTCCTACTATGTTAATTAGGGTAAATATTTTACTTGATGTCTCTTTTTAATGTGAGCAGTTTAAATCTGTGCACTTCTGTAAGCTATAAAAATCTTAGGAATACACTTGGTGGCAAAGCATTTGTGTGTTTTTTGCTTGGTATGCAACTTTCAAGGCTCTGTGTATTCAAAGGAGATGGCATTGCCATGTTTTAACATTAGAAAACACTTAAGTTTCTGCTTGTTAAAAATCTGGTTTTAACTGTGACCAGTGTTACACAGAATTGTAAAAATTATGCATTTTAATAAAGGGCTTCTGCCTAGTAATTCACAGTTGATCCTTAAAACTCAATGGGATGTTAGCTTCATAAAGACCAGGCTTTATGTGTTAAAAGTGTACATGCCAGACAGAATCATAGAATCATCATAGAATGGTTTGGGTTGGAAGGGACCTTACAGCTCATCCAGTTCCAGCCCCTGCCACGGGCAGGGACCCCTTCCACTAGAGCAGCTTGCTCCAAGCCCCTGTGTCCAACCTGGCCTTGAACACTGCCAGGGATGGGGCAGCCACAGCTTCTCTGGGCACCCTGTGCCAGCGCCTCAGCACCCTCACAGGGAAGAGCTTCTGCCTAAGAGCTCATCTCAGTCTCCCCTCTGGCAGGTTCAAGCCATTCCCCTTGGCCTGTCCCTACAGGCCCTTGTCCCAAGCCCCTCTCCAGGTTTCCTGCAGCCCCTTTCAGCACTGGAGCTGCTCTAAGGTCTCCCCTTCAGGAGCCTTCTCTTCTCCAGGCTGACCCAGCCCAGCTCCCTCAGCCTGTTTCCAGAGCAGAGCTGCTCCAGCCCTTGCAGCATCTCCATGGTCTCCTCTGGACTCCAGTTGATATGCATATGTGCATTTGCTGTTGTGGAAACGTGTTTGCTGATTGTAGTTAACTTTTATTGAGAACCTTGGTTGAGCTCAATTAAATGTTAATGAATGTTTGGTACTAGAATTGCACCACAAGTAAGATTCTGAAAAAGCTTTTGGCTAGTGAAGAGAATAAAACCAAGCTGAGCACTTGTCACTTGGGTTTTGTTTCTCTCGTGTTTGGCTTTGGTCTGATAGTTCCACAAGGCATCCTCCTGTAGATGGGAGTCAGTTCTAAATCTGCTTGAGAACATTCCTAGCATATATAAAACAAGCCTCACCTTAGGAAGGAAAATTTTCCATGTATTTTGAGACTATTTGGAGATAACTCTCCTTAGGAACTGTGTTCTGGCCCTGTCTCTAAATGCTTTGTATGTGTCATAGTAAACCGATTTTTTTTAATTGGATTTTGAGAAGGACCTAGGACTGAGCTTGATACTTCAGAGTTCTGCACATGCCACAGAAAGGCACCAAAACCACTGTGATACTCAGTCCTACTTGCCCTCTGGAGCATAGTCTTTGTTGTGTTGTTCCCCGAACTCATGAGAAGCTTTGTTTTGGGATGCTGCAGTCAGCTGTTTGGTGGTGCTGTGAGTGTTCTCTCTTTGTCTGAGTAATGGCATTAATGATTCCTGGTGCCTCAGCAGTTGTTTGCCAACTCCTTACCTCTGCTTCAGATAGTCCTGTTGACAGCCAGAAATAGCAAGATTGTTCTTTCCAGGAAAGTCATAGGTTTTGGATGAATTGATGGTGGTACCTTGATCATTCAGGTTCCGTTTCCAGATTTGAAACATAAGAGGTGGCTTTGGATCAGACTTTCACAACTGTTTTTCAGAGGATTGTTACTGAACAGAGATCAGAGGCAGTTGGGTGAAAGACTGAACAATGGCAAAATATTGTGTCATGTATCATTTTTCTTAATCAGTTCTGTGCAACTGCATTTAATCTGTATAACTGTCTTTTTTGGAAAGTAGTATTTCACAAGGAAAAAAATAATCCTAAAACCAGTTGAACATATGTTGATGAATACACACGTGTTATTATTCAGACATCACACTCATTTCTAAATAGAAAAGCATAAAAC